AAACTGGGTTAGCAGGAAAACTTCCTACGTCTAGGCCACCAGAGTTCCCTTTATTGTCCATGAAACCATAATAACTTTTCTTTAATACATGGATTGAAGCTCATCAAGAAAACAAAGATTCTCACTATTGGACCAAATGGCATCATGATAGATGGTGAAGAAACTGAGATTATTAAGAGTTTTAGTTAGCTTGGCTCCACAATCAACACTTTTGTTATCAGCAGCCAGGAAATCCAAAGATGAATTGCATTGAGGAAATCTGCTGTGAGGGACATCTCAAAAGTACTAAAGAGCAACAATGTCAGTTTGGAGACTAAGGTGTGCCTGATCCAGGCCATAGTCTTCTCAATTACATGCTATGCATCAGAAAACTGGGCAATGCCTAAGGATGATAGAAGAATTGATGCCTTACAGCTATGGTGCTGGCGAAGAGTATTGGATATACCATGGACTGTTAGGAGAACAAACAATTTTTCCTGGAGAGAGTGAAACCAGGCTGCTCCTTGGAGGCAAGGATTCTGAAGCTTCATCTGACATACTCTGGCCATGTTGCAAGGAAGGACCAGTCCTTGACAAGGGACATCATGCTTGGCCGGGTGGAGGGACAGCGCAAGTGAGGAAGACCCTGGATGAGATGGATTGACTCGGTGACTGGAGTAATGAGGGTAGGGGTAGGTGTGTCAAAGACAATAAAGTTAGCTCAAGATAGAGCAACGTTCAGAGCTGTTGTACCTAGGGTCATTATGAGACACAGGGGACTTGATGGCACATAACAACAACAACTTCATGCTATTAGCATATTATGCTTTTTTATTCTCAGTCTTAACTAACTAGCTAGAACTTTGTCTTTTATTCCCCAAACAACCAGTTTTTATTTTGTTCTATCTTGTTCATTCTCTATTTTATTCTTCTTGTTATGTGCTGTCAAGTTGACCACGAATTATAATGATTCTATGCACAGTTGCTCTGAACTCTGCTCTATCCTAAGCCAATTTCACTACCTCTGACACATCTAAAAATACAGAATGTCTCATTATATCCTGCCTTCTGTTTACTTTGAATTTAATCTGCACTTCCTTTCTAGGTCTTTGATTTTAGAAATGTATATCATTTAACATAAACATTTGAAACTATCAATTTCTCTTGAGGAATTGTTCTATTTATACCTCACAGATTTTGCTATTTCTTATTTTCATCATTATTATTATCTTAGAGTATTCTATAACTTCCCTTGTAATTTATCCTTTGAATCATAGACTCTTCTGTGCTTTATTTGATTCCTAGAATCTTTTAGAATATGTAGTTTCACTCCCAAATTGTTAGGACTTCTTTTTAGACATTTTATTGATTTAGAATTTAATTTCATTTTGACCAGAGAATATAGTCTATATACTTTCAGTCCTCTTAAAAGTACTGTTGTTGTTGAGTACCATGAAGTTGGACTGACTCAGCTGAGCCCCCATTGGGTTATCAGAGGCAGTAAATTGCACTGCGGGAGATTGCCCATCTTTCTTCACAGAGTAGCTGCTGGAATCAAACTGTGCTTCTTTGGGCTACTTCTGACCACAGAGATTCCTGCACCAGTCAGAGCAGAACCTAGAAGTAGCAGCAGTGTAAAAACCAGAGCCTGATGTGAGACAGAGTCAATTAGAGACTGCTCCCCCACAGAGCCAGAGCGAGAGACTTCACCCAAGCTTGTTGGAGGAGACGCCCTAACTGCCAAGACTAAGAGAGCTTTGTAATACCAACCTAAAACCATGAGAATGGAGGGAGGTTGCAAAGCCTGGGATTATGCTTGAGAATCTGTTTTGCCTAAAGAACAGTGTCTTATTTCCAATCTGAATTATAACCTGTTGTTGTTGTGTACTGTAGAGTCAGAACCAACCCCCAGTTGACCCTCTGGAGGGTTTTCAGAAGCAGTTAATCGCATGGGAGGAAATTGCCCATCCTTCTCCTGCTGAGCATTTGGTGACCTTGAACCACATGCCTTCAGGATTGCAGCACAGCTTCTTGCCACTAGGCCACCAGAGCACCCTAGCTTCCCTTATAAACGCAACAACTGTATGATTCTGTGAATTCTGGGTGCCCATTGCAGTAGATTGGGAGACCCAGGGCAAACAGTGAATGTTCTGGAAGGGACAGTTGGTGTTAGAATAGGTAGAAGTAGTTTAGGAAACAATGAAGGGGAGGAATTGTTTGGTTGTGCTGTGAATATTGTGAAGTTAGTTAGAAGAAGTCAGATTTACATATTACCCACACTCTTTATAAATACTTTTACACTGCCTTCTAGAACTGCCCTTCAAAATCTTATGTTCTCCTCTGTTGTTTCACCTTTCTTTTTTTTTTTTTTTTAAATTACTGGAGATGTTTATTTCCCTCTTTTTTTTTTTGTTTATTTCCCTCTTAAGGTAATAACAT